GATAATATTATTGTTATTATGATTATTAATTCTATTGTGATTATTAATAAAATTGTTGTGATCATGCACACGTTGGTGTATTATTCAGTGGTGTAATCGCGGTATGAATGATGATTAATATTCCTATTGTGCTAGTAATTACTAAGCTTATTATGGCAATTGTTATCTGTGTAGTTGTGTTTTCTTCAAGTAAAGTAATTAATAAGCCGATTGAGATTATTAATCCAATTGTTGAGATAATAATTATTTTCTTGTATTGTTTTATTAATTCAAATAGATTTGTTAGCAAAGTTTATCCAATTAAGTCAGTTTGATTGTATTGTGGTAATGTTGAGTTTTGAAGCCTTGTGATCTGTTTTTTATAGTTACAGAGTTTTCTTTTACACATAAGTATTATTCCAGTTATGGTAGTTATTGCGGTTAATATGGTGATTATTAATGCAACAAAGGTGTTTATAGCTTCTTTGTCCTGCAAGAAGTCTAGTTGATTTGTAATCAAAGATGTTTGGGTTACTATAGCACTTATTGTAATGGCAACTTGAGTATTTGTTGGTAAGGCAACTGTTATGTTTATTACGTCAGTTTTGGAGATTCTAGTTTGTAAGCAGATTACTAATATAAAAATTATTAAGCAAATTTTGCTTTGTAATAATAGGTTTCACATTCATATTGTTGAATTACTAATTTCTGGTGGTTTCGATATAGTTGTCTTGTCAGATGATCATTTTGCGAGTTTCAATGGTAAGGTTTCGTTTTAGCCTTTTCAGCCTTACTGGTCGTCGATATCAGATTAGGTTGATTATAGTAGTTAATCTTCCAAATTAGAGTAAGCTTTCCTTCAATCGTACTTGCTTAAAAGTTGTTTAAGCTCTATTCATTTTGCAATATGTTTGCTTGGTAAGTTTGGTTTGGATAGTTATATAGTTTATTTCTTTTCTGTATGCTTTTTTGTTATAAATTTATTAGTATGGATGTGGTTTTTAGTAAGTTGAGCACCTTTTGTGCTACTAATTTTTTTTTACAGTGGGCTAGGCCGTGCTCTCTTGTGGAATAGTTTTGTTAATTATTTATTCAGAGGTGGATAAGTCTCTGAGGTACTACTTAGTTACTACTATGCCTCTACTTGGGCATTAAGCTATCTAAGCTTTATTACTTTGGTGTCAGATTATTTACTGTTTATATTTATGTAGAAGGATTATAGGATTATACTATTTTACTTGCACAAGGTTTTTATATTTAATAAATTGGTTTTTATTAAATTTATTTAGTAAAGTACTATACTAATATTTAATATTATATCTTTTAGCTTTTTAGTTTTGTTCTTGAATGTTTATTATTTCCATGTTGTCCCTTTTATATTATATGAATTTAATATGGTCTCATTATATTATAAAGCGCTACCTATTTTATATTGTTCTTTTGTGAACAATCCTCGAGTTCACATATTATAATGATTTCTTTTTTGGGTAAAAGAGTTTGTGTGAGCACTTATTGTTCAATATTGATTGTAAAGAGGCCTATATTAATGGAAAATTAGCACCAAGATTATATCAAAACTACTACAACTAGCAATATAATATAAAGAACCAGAAAAGTTTATAAAAAAACTTTCTGAAGAAACAAATCTAAAACCAAAATTCTTTACCAATAAATAAACCCTGAAACAGAAATAACCTTCCAAGGAGTTTTCAACCAATTCTTCTAAAAATATCCAAAACCTTTACAAAATACAGAAAAAGCAAAAATTAAAGAAGTCATACCAAAGCTATATTACAAACTAAATAATTTAAGAAGACCAGCAACAAGAAAAGTAATCAAAACTCAAACAGATAAACAAAATAGAATTTGGATGTATGAAGAAAAAGAAAACTATTACATTGATATCTCAGAAGAAGAAATAGCAGCCTTATTATTATACTTATTCTTAGTAGAAGAAAAACAAATTCTAGAAGACGTACTCCAAATAATCAGAGCAACTAAAGATAATATTAGAAAGTGGCTAAAAACAGCACAGTGCGAACATCGATTTAAATTAATAAGTTACAGAGAATATTTTAGTTAAAAATGGCAACAAAACTTAAAATACCAAATATTCAAGAACTAGAAAATGCAATACAACTTTTCAATAAAGACTCTAAAAAATATATCAAATGGAGAAACCAAACTAAAACTACAATTTCTTTATATGTACCAAAAATACTATATGAATTCAGAGTATTCTCAGGAAATCCTGATGAAGAATATACAAGACAAAATGCTAATTACCAAATAGCAAATGCAAATAATGATCTAAAAGTATTTTGCAACACTTCGTTATAGAGAGCAATAATAGCAAAAGTATCTACCAAATTATCTGACATAGCATTAGATATTTACGAAGAAAATAAAGATGAAGCTTTAAGCTGGTTTAGATCAAATATTAACAATCAAGACGACATTAAAAACACTCTACCAGATCATAGTGGATATCCTCTTGCAAGTAATTATGAATATAATGGAGCACAAAATAATGCTGCAGCAGCATTAACAGCCTGCGGAATAGTAGCAACAACCCATAATCAAAAAGGATAAAGAGAAATCCTTGATAGAGCATTTATCAAAAATGATGTCCAACAGGCATGGCAAGAAAAATTCCTAAAACATACCTTTGTAAAACCAAATTGAGAAGATGAATCAGCATTCTCTGCATAGAGAAGCATTTATAAAAAATTAATGCAAATCTCTGGATACTTATTCAATAACAATTTCAAAGCAGGAGAATATAATCATCTTAAAACAAGAATGCCTATAGAAATACAAAGAGCAATCCACCATGCTAACCCAACAACTTTACAAGAATTTTGAGAAGCAAAAGAAAGAGCATTCCAAGCAGAAAGACATATAATATTACAAAGTAGAAAAATCAACTTTGGAAAATTAGCCAACATCAAAGTAACCAAAGTAAATAATGCAAAATTTACTAAAAAAGAACGATCTCAAAAGAAAGTCTCAATAAAAAATATTGATACTCTACAAAATGACAAATCTAAAAGAAACTGCTTTAAATGTGGAAAACCAGGACATTTTGCTAGGAATTGCTACTCAAACACTAAAAAAGACTCCTTTAACAATGTAAACAATTGGAAACTTAAAAAGAAAAGATTTTGTTCACAATGTGGAAAACCATATCCAAAACATCACCCAGGATGTACTTGAAACAATGGAACACACATAAACAGAAAGAAAGTAGGAAGAAGAACAGTACCAATAGAAATAGAAAGATTCAAGAAAGGAAACTTCTCAAAGAAACCTTACAACAAAGGAAAAGGAAAACCATATAAAAGGAAATTCACCAAAAAGAAATTTTGACATTACGAAGAAAATGAAGAAGAAACTGAAGAAGAATACTATTCAGAATCTGAAGAAGAAACTGAAGAATCAGATAATGAAGAAGTTATAACTGCAAATAATCTTCATAAAACTATTCAGAAAAAAGTTAATTCTTTCGAATAGGGGACTTGCCTAGTGTTCGAGAGAAAACCCAAAGAAATTTTCTAAAGGCTACACTAGAGAGAACATAAATACCATTAGTATTACCAAAATACAAAATATTAATAATATTAAATGTATTAACTCTAAAATACTTAATAAAGATCCTATTATTTATCAAAAGTACCAAAAGTTCTCTGCCAAACCTACAAATCAAGAAATGATAAAGAAAGTATTCAAACAAAATGAATATAACTATCTTCTTAAAACTTACAAATTTCCAAAAAAAGCTAAATGGCAAAATCTTAGACCAAAAGAAAAGAAGCAATACCAATTTATAGCATTATTAAATAACAAACCAATACTAGTATTACTAGATAAAGGAGCAAGTGCAAATATCATAGGATTAGATATGGCAAAAGAATTAGGATTACTAGAAAAAATAGACATCATAAAGAAATCAACTGCTATTCTACCAGGAGGACAAACAATAGAAAACCTTGGACAAGTAAAAGCAATATTCCAGGTGAAAAATATAAAAGCAATGCTTAAAATATCAATTCTTGAAGGAGACCAAGCTTATATGCTCTTATCAGAAGTAGATCAAGATAGATTAAATATCTCAAAAGATAGAAATAATAAAATAGCTCAAATAAACAGGAAGCCAATATCATATCAAGATATTCCCCCGAACCAATCACAAGGGTTATCAGGGTTAAATCTTAACTCTGTTCCAGGAAATCCCTCTTGCACCTTGAAAAAAGAAGAGTCTACCCCAGTATCATATGACAATAATATAGGCATACTTACAACTATTGCACCTAGTCACCTCGCTCGAAAGGCTAGGGATACACTCCTTAAAAGCAAAAAAAAAACCTTGCGATAGCACCCAACATGGTCTAGAAAACAAACCTCTAGCCAATAGCAAGTCATATGCATTGGCCACATCTCTCGCTAATGCTCAAGATAGCATCCAACGAAGTGAACAAAATAAATTTGAGCTCGAACAAGACAAAAAATCTAACAGATCAACTAAAAAAAACAAAAAGAAAGCCTCTAAAGATACTAAAATTAGCAAGAAAATACTGAAAGAATACTTACATGCTATTAAAAAATATCCACAACAAAAACCTAAAGAGAATATTAGAAAACCATCAATAAGAAACTCCAATACTAACCAAATTAATTGGGTAACTGAAAAATTTTTTTTTTTTTTTTTTTTTTTAAGGTGAGACCTTGCTCATATCTTTATTAAGTAATTTATATAAGTAATTATATAAAATTTATAAAGAACTTAATTTGTATAATAACAAATAAAT